CCAGGGCTGCTTGTCCGTTTGTGCGGACAGAGGGCCCGCCCCTTCGCACTTCCTCTGAGGAGCTTCTGCCTGAGGCTGAGTCGCGTGCTCCCAGGCGGTCTCTGGAGGAAGAGGTCCCAGCGGTTAAAGAGGGAGCTGCCTCCGGAGCAAAGTCCTGAAGGACAGCGACCCCGAAGGCGCGCGCCGTGCTTGTGTGATGCGCCTCTTCCTGAGGGGCTGGTCCTGGGGTCGCTGTGCGTGCGTCCCGTCCGGCCTGCCCGCCTGCCGTGGTCGGTGATGTCACTGACAGCGCAGTGATCACATGACCTCGCAGGCGGCTGTTGGGGCACATCTGCGTTTCAGTTCAGTCCAGGTCCCCAGCGGCGGACACTCCCCATGGTCTCCTCAGCCGATGTGATGTGGGTCCCCCCCCCCCCCGGGACTCGGGGTCGGGGTTCCCTGTGTAGGCCTGAGACAACGCTCCTCAGGGGGACCTTCGCCGCCGAGGGACCCCCCATCCTCTCAGCTGCCGCGGAGCGGGGCCAGCCCAGCTCGACTCCCCCTCCTGCCATCGCTGTGGCTTCTGTCCGTCTGGTTGGGAGACTTCTGTGCGGCCCGTCTGCTCGGTGATCGCTCTGCGTTTCGGCTGCGAATCGGGAGGAGCGCGTGCCTCCCGCCTGCGCTGCCGTCGTCCTGGGTCCTCGGCTCTCCCTCCCTTCGCTCCTCAGGAGGCGGTTAGTTACGTGGCCCCCGTGTCTGGCTGTTGTGGGAGCTGGGAGCACAGAGACCCTTCAGGACAGTGATTTTACTGCCTTTTCCTGTGCAGCCCGGAGCGGGGTTGCTGGCCGCAGGACAGCCCTGCGTGTAACTTCCTGAGCAGCCTGTTTTTTTCCCGATGGCTCCACCAGTGACACTTCCACCGACAGTGGACGGGGCTCCCTCTCGTCCGCATCCTTGCAAACATCTCTTTATCCTTTTTTTTTTTTAAGTAATAGCCATCCCCACTGATGTGCCGTGATGTCTTACTGTGGTTTTCCTTCCCATCTGGACGACGATCAGTTCCCTCATCGCCACGCTGAGCCGTCTGGAACGGTCACTCCTGTCTGCTGAGGGCATTGGCAGGCACTGGGCCCGTGGCTTCGCCTCCCGTGGGCGGATGGCGTGAGGACCCTGGCGGCTGCTTGGGGACCTGCAGGTCATGGACGTGGTTGCTCCCGGGGGGACCGCATGGCGAACACGGCTTCAGAGGCAGCCAGCGGTGCCGGGAGCCTTGGTTTTCACGGTGAGGGACGCGTGTCAACCAGTCCGTTGCTCCTCTTCTTCCCTCTACTTACAGAACGGAGCTCCTGACCACGGATGGAGAACACGGTGTTCGGACTCAGAGAGAGCGAGACCTGTGAGGTTGTCACATTAAACATTTTTTTCAGCCTGGCCAGTGTGGCTCAGGGGTTGAGTGTCGTCCTATGAACCAGGAGGTCAGGGTTCGATTCCCAGTCAGGGCACATGCCAGGGTTGTGGACTCCATCCCCAGTGGAGGGTGGGCAGGA